GCGTTACAGTATGCTCCTATTCTTTTTATGCTCAGCTACTAAGATTTCCCTTCAGTGGTAAAATTCAATATCTACAACAGGCACAGTAAAGACGTTTACAGTAAGTCTTTCTACGGCAGACCAACGGACCACGAGTGCCCCTGTCGGTCAACCAATCACGAACCGCGTCATCTTGCGTCATGAAACGCGATACCGCAGCCAATTACCTGCGCACTTTGAATGGCTGCATCTGTAAGTAGTTTTTCAAAGCACTTCATTATGTGGGGGTGAGTGCAATAGGCCAGTAGTTGTTCAGGCATATGGGTGCCAATTGTTTTGGTACTGGCACGATGGTGGTTGTCTTGAAGCAGCTAGGTAAAAGTAGCCTGGGCCAAAGACAGGATGAAGATGTCAGTATAGACATCAACTCATCAACTATCTGCCAAGCACATGTTCTGAGTACCAGGCCAGGGATACCGTCAGGTCCAGTCTGGAAATCACTAAGAAGACATCTAGCTTGGATAGTGTGGGGGGTGGGATGGCAAGGGAGTCAGTGGTCCAGGTAGCTGGTTCAGGGTTTTGAGCTTCAAAGCATGCGTAGAAGGTGTTAAGCTTGTTTGGGAGGGAGGGGTCAGTAGTGCTTACAGGGCTTGTTTTGTTCTTGTAGTTTGTGATTGTATGTATCTCTTCCCATATGCGTCATGGGTTAGCGTTGGTGCTGTAGTGGTGTTTTATCTGGGATTTGTAGCGTTTCTTGGCAGATTTTATACCACCTCTTAATTTTTTCCTTGCCACTCTCAGTTCTTCCTCATTACCAGATTTAAAGGCTGCATCACAGGCTCTGAGCAGGGAGCGGATCTCAGTATTCATCCAGGGTTTTTGATTTGGGAGTTTGTGTATCTTTTAACACAGTATCTGACTTCACACCTCTTGATTAGCCTCTCTTTCTGTCCCCTGCTCCCGCCTCTCACTCCTCCTCCCTCCCAACCTTTGTTCTCCCGCTACTTTACCTTTGCCTACTGCCCTGTCTCTCTCACAAAGATTGTCCCTCAGTATGGCGGTTTTACAATGTAGTGCAGCCCTATTTAAAAAAAAAACAGCGGTACCCTCCAGCCCCTGAACTGCAAACTACTGCAGTATCCCCTGCGCATTTTGAATGGCTGGATCTATATTAAAACAATTTTGCATGTTCTCTGCAAGTCTGAGATGTGGAGTAGGGTGGCAGGACGGAATCCATTTCTCACTAAAAAAGAACATCCAAGCCCGTAAAGAAGTTTTCAAGAAGACAATCAATCTCCGAAACCATGTACGAAAATGCCTTATGATGAGACCAAGGTAGAACATTTTGGCATGGAAGTACTGTTTTTTTTTTCCTTTAAAACATACTTTTAGCTGATAGCTACTTCTAGTTAAAAACACTTAAACTGTACTTAATAATTTTAACACCTCTTTCAGAAAAAAAAAGTATTACTCATTTAAAAACAAGCAACTTTCCCATTTTTGGGACATAAAATTTAGCTCAAAAAGTCAATTAGAATTAGTCAATTATTGTACGGCAATTAGAGAGGCAATCCCGCAATAGAAAAACATGGTAAACAAGTCATACCAGACTAATTTGATTATATATTAATAGCTTTATAAGAAGTATTCTGCTAGATTTCTAGCAGAGTTTTAAGCCTAGACCCAGTCTGAAACAGGCACGATGTTTCTAAAAATTTGATACATATAGGCAATGCTACTATAAGTGGGAAATATTAATTGTATCATATAGATACCATGCTTTCATAAACACAGCATTAGGCTCTCTGCATTTACCAAATGTAATAAGTCTCTAATAATTTCTATCAACTTTTATGATCATGCACAAGTTTACTAAACGTTTGTATTATATTTTCTTGGCTATGTATTTCTTTACTTATATTTTACTAACTCTGTCTCAGGATTTCTTGTCTCAAAATATAATATAGCCACACTGTATCTTTATGCATAGCTGGCACAGTTCTCATGGAAATGACCGAGTGACCTCTCCTGGGACAAGTGGTCTATTCAGTTACAAGCAGAAGGGGGTGCTTGTCATGCAAGCCACCAGTAAAGAAAATATACGTACTGGTCAGCTTTCTAGAATGACCTTATATAACCACAATGCAAGCAGAGATTCATGTGGGAGTGTATTTTGTATTGTTTGTTTCACTGTATAAAAGAGCACTGTAAGCGTTGTCTTTGGAGTCTTGTGTACAAGAGCAAGACTCCCATATGCAAATAAAATAAAGACGACTTTCAACACACAAACTCTCGGCTGATGCCCTTTGTTTGGCACAACACACCTTAAAGAAAAGTAAAATTCTGTTTAAACAATAGGTTACATAATGACAAATATCATAATGATAAAAAATATTGGATTAATTACATGGATTTTTAGTTTGGATTTTATACCTATCCATATTCTAATGTGTGAAAAAAAGTAATTAGATGTCTCCTGAAAACAAAGAGTCCGATACAGCATCACTCCAAGTGGGACATCACAAATTGTTCAGCCATTGCTTAAGGGTACAAAGCAGTGCCCTACCCACCAGTGGAAACTACCACCATTCAGTTATGACTTATATCATCAATTTTGTTCCCTCCAGAATTAAGTCCTCCACACTGCCTAGTTTTTTCCATAATAAAACTTCTTCAAGAGACAATACAGAACACATAAAATTATTTAATGCATTTTAAAATGGACCATTTTACCTATGTTTTGTGAATATAAAGTCCTTGGGCAAGTATAACATTTTCAAGGGAAAAGAGAAATCCTATGACTCTTGAGCTAAGAAATCCAACCTACCTGTTAGAGATGTGAGTCCCATACAACCAGCAGCTAATATAACTCCCAGGACAGCAGCAGCATCCTCCAAAAGCACAACATTGGTACTTGGGTCCCGGCTCTGCAATACTGCAAGACACACAGCAAGCATGTTAAATTTAGATAAAACAGTGCAAGTGTACAAAATACCTAAAAATACACTGACTAGAGGCAAAAGCTACCTAGGCTCTGCAGTACCTTCAAACATTAAGAGGCAGATTTCTAGCAAGTTTCTTTGGTGAAAACAAATAATTGGCTTATTTTTTCTTAATGAGAAGTCTAACTAGGATGGAAGCCATGTATCAATATCTGAGTTATCTAATTTCTTATGGTTTAATCTTAAATCTAAATTTACTTTAACCTGAATCACTACAAATTATCCTTCTCTTCTTTTCACAAAATGTTTTTTTGTTTAGTAGAACAGTAGTTATAAGCTACCAGATTCTTTTCAAGCTCTGACAGGTGTCAAACTAATTTAGCTTAGCTTTCTGCTAACCTTATTTTAGATTAAAGTACATTATTAGTTGTATCATGTTCCATTTAGGAACTAGTGATCATGTGCCCGCCACTACAGGCTGCCAAAACGGCCTCCAAAGACCAATATCAATCTCTTTTCAGTTTCACTGGCTTCTTTCAAGAATTAGCTCTGCAATATCCTCAGAACACTTAGCTACTATCAACCAAAAGAGCTAAATTGGTACAATGGCCTCTTCCTGTTTATAACCTTTGTGTTCTCATAAGAGTAATATATTTGGATAAAATAAAACATGCAACATAAAAATTAATCAGAAACTGAATATAAAGTTATGGAGCTCCATTTTAAAAGGAATTGGAAAATATGAGTATGTCTTTCTGAAACAATATTCTGATATCTTATATATACAGTACTCTTATGTCTGAACAAACGTTATACACTGATATAACCAAGCCATTTATGATGCAATATGTTACAGAATGAATTAATAGTTCTGTGGTAATTGCAGGATTACTTCTAAATTAAAACATTTTGTGGATTGATTTAAGTTACAGCTTTATAATACAGGTATATTTAGAAAATATGGTTCATCTATCAAAAATCCGGTAAGAAAGCAATTATTCACAGCAGAATGGAGTAGTGGTAAAAGCTCTGGAACTGTAATTGGAACGTCATGGGTTTAAATGCTACATGGGACACTGATGCTGTACCCTTCGAGTTACTTAACTCAAATTGCTTCAGAGAAAAAATATCACTACACCATGTTATGCTTTTTTTGGGGGGTGGCACATACCATACTCGTAAAATGACACCCCACGTAACTGAGCGCCTTTTCTGATTTCATTGACAGCCACCAACAGCGTTGCTAGAGAAATGAATTGAAAAACACAAAATGAATTAAAATTTAACATCAAAGGCCATACAGTATACAATTTTTAGTATTGTTATTTTCATGCCCTGGTGTTGTTTTTACTTTTTGACATTGAGAACTAATTATTTATGTTAAAAGTTTACAAGTGAGGATGAGCCTCAGATTTACATGTTTTTCAGTTTCTTATCATTTTGATTTAAATGTGGGTAAATGTTAATTTATTCACATTATAGTGCTACACACCCTGGTGCAGGGATCATAAAATAGGCACACCGATAGGCAGGTCAGAGTAAAACAAACATACAAAGTAGCCATATGGAAAAGAGAAAAGTAGTGCTCTTTATTTAAAGTGTGGCAAATAAAAAAAAGCCTCAAAGCCTAAATTTCTTTATTTAGTCCCTCCCTATTGTACTGGGCAGTTAAGCAACTTACTGACTTCATCACAGACTCTTTGAGACCATTAATAAACACTTTTCTGAATCAATTACTGTCTGGACCCAATATACAGTTAGTAAATATACTATACTAAATATTCTAACATACAGTTCGCTGTTTATTATATCTGATGGTTTGAATAAGGTTCTTCTGTTCAAAAGCAGTGTTTGGTTTTTGCCAAACATAACTCTCCTCATTGAGGCAAAAGAGTTATACCTTTGACTCTTTTGATCCAGAGAATTTTGCCAAACGCCAGACAGGCAACAAAGTTGTTTTTGGAGAGCAATGGCTTTTCCCTCCTATTCTTCCTTGAACAACATTCTTATTCAGACATTTTTTTTATTTTTAAGTCACGAACAATCACAGCCAAGGCAAGAGTGGCCATCAGTTCCTTGATTTTACTCTGCTATATCCTTGATAAGGCTAAGCAAAAACACTATATAAAATAAACAGCACAGGTAATGTGCTATATTTTATGCTTAAAAACATGGAAAAACTATATTCTTGTATTCTAATGTAATTTCTCTGAGAAGAAAGGTTTTTGTGAAGAAGTACTTATTTTTCTCCATAACGATTCTGGTAGATAAAAGTAAACAAAATTAAATCTAAATACCATAATCTCAATTCTACTTTTTTATGCTATCTCCATCTTAAGGAACTATATTGTGGCCTTCCATCGCTTCGTTTCACTGGGGTATAAAAATTAGGTAACACACATGTAAAAACCCCTTGTCATCCATTCCCATGGGGAAAGGCAAAGAATCACAAATCAAAAGAGACAAATGGTTGTTGACCTTCATGAATTAGGCAATGGGTACAACAAATATTGTACATAAAAGCTCAAAACCCCATTTGCTACTATTACAGAAATAATTAAGAAGTTTAAAACCACTGGAAAAGTGGTAAACTTGCTTATTAGAGGATGCATGTGTTTTTTCGCCCTAAAATCCAAGTGCCAATTCAGGTGGAGAACTACAGAACTTGATTGCATATTGGGGTCACCAAGTCTCTAAATCCACAATTAGACAATGCCATTAAGCTATTTGGTAGAACTGTCAGAAATCAACAAATGTGTGCATGCTCAGATGAGACAATAATAGAGATTTTTGGACACACACATACCAGAAAAGAGCACTACTGTAAGATACTGTTACAAATGGGGGTCTACAAAAATCAGGAAAATCAGGAAATGACTTAGCAGATAAATCAAGAACTAAAATAACCATAAAACCTAACTTGTAAGGATTTCTCCAAGAATTTACATGAGTGGCTGGCATAGTTAAAGACATGAATTCTTAATTCTCTGGTACAGGTTTGGTGAAAAGAGTAACAATTCAGAATGAGATAAGCTGCCTTCTAAACTAAGTACAACCTGCAGTAAAATAACTCTTTTAGACACCAGCAGCTATATCACTCTGCAACTAACAATCCACATTAAGCTAAACAGATGTGAAGGAACAAGTAATAGGTTTATTCCATGCTGAAAAGAAAACACGTTTCGGCCGTGGAGCCTTCTTTAGGTGTGAGAAAGACAGGGCAGTAAGCAAAGGTAATGTAGCGGGAGAACAAACGCTGAGAGAGGAGGAGTAAGAGGCGGGAGCAGGGCACAGAAAGAGAGGCCAATCAAGAGGTGTGAAGTCAGGTTAGTCAAAGAGAGGTGTGAAATGAAACCTACAATGAATAGAGAGAATTTAGAAGAAACGTAGTCTGTAGAAGGGTGAAGGTATGATCCTAGCTGCAGGATAATTTTGGTTTCTGTAGTCTTTCTGATGTATGAGTTCAGAAAACCATCTTTGAGAACACAGACGGAGAGATTAGAGTGGTCATGGCCATCAGAGGTGAAATGAGAAACAATGGGGTTGGAGAGATCTTTAATCTTCACTGCCCTAACATGTTCTCTGAAGCAGTCTCCGAGTTTCCTTCCTGCAGGTGTGAGTCCTGCCAGTACCTGGATGGGAGACCTCCTGGGAAAATAAAGTTGCTGCTGAAAATGGTGTTAGTGGTGTCAGTAGGGGGCACTCACCCTGTGGTCTGTGTGGATCCTAACGCCCCAGTGTAGTGATGAGGACGCTATACTGGATGAGACAAAATCGTGGTCCTGATTCTTTGTGGTCATTAAAAATCCCAGGGTGTTTCTTGAAAAGAGTAGGGGTGTAACCCCTTGCGTACTGGCCAAAATTCCCATTGGCCTTTACCAATCATGGCATCCTAATTATCCCCATTTATGAATTGGTTCATCACTGTTCTCCTCCCCACTGATAGTACGCTGGGCAAACGTTCCGAGGTCAAATTCTTCCAGCACGGGGGTACCTTTAAAGCGGAGACGACGGCACCGAAATTTTTTGGCGCGCCTTCTCTTTAAAGCCCTGGCCAAATATGAAGACAGTACGTACAGTTATAATTCAAACGGAATTAAAAACTACACATCCCAGT